ATAATAAAAAAATTTGCGATGCTTTTCTTGATCGTATAGATGCTCTTCAAGCATCAATTAAAACTTTACAACGAAGAAAAGAAGAAAATCAAAAAACATTTCAGGATAAGGGATATTATAACAATTTTGTGCGTCTTGTTGATGTTTTGAGAAAAGTAAAAGTTTTTCTTGATAATGTAACTCGTCTTCACGGATATAAAAAATATCTTAATGCAAATAGTGTTAAAGAAAAATTTGGAACGCTTACCAATGAATTTGATACTGTAGTGCATGATTTACATTTCGCGTTAACTGTATCTGCTCAGAGACAAAGTGAAATTGATCAAAAAAGCTTAAAGGAAGATATTAATGGGATGTCTAAGGTTATTATATATATTATCATTACATTGTCATCATTATCATTATTATTGTTATTATTACTACTAATTTTTCTCAATTAAAAAATCAGTTTTTAGAAACTATTCATGGTGGCATTATTGACGAAGAACAAAAACTTAATACAGTACTTCAAGAAGTTATGATTATAAAAGGTCAAATCGAGTCACTTGAAAATAATAAACCTGCGCCACCTGATGACAATCCCATTAAAGCAGTTCAAGTATTACCATCTGAGTTAGAAGATCCTATGTATCCAAAAAAAACTGATCGACGAGGAAAATCACCTTATATTGTTAAGAAAACTTTGAGAAAAGTAATAGAAGTTGCATGTAAGTCTGTCACAATACCCAATGAAGAGGAAAATTCACATGAATATCAAAAGGCACAAGGACTATTCACTATTTTAGGAAAGCTACGTGAGTCAGATCATATAATAAAATTTTATGGTCTTTCAACTATTGATAAAGCAACAGTAATAGTGCTTGAATGGGCAGAATTGGGCAGCTTAAAAAAAGTTTATGAGGAATATGATATTAAATGGCGCACTAAAGTTGAAATAGCTCTTGAAATTTGTCGTGGTCTTACATTTTTGCATTCATGTCAAATTCTTCATCATGATATTCGTTGTGAAAATATTATGGTAATTAAAATTTATTATCAATAAACATTATTACTATTATTAAATATTATTATTAAATATTATATATCATTTATTTGGTAAGATGGACAAAAATCAAAAAACAAAAATTGCTAACTTTGATTATGCTCGTCATATCAGTGGTGAAACTATTGATATGAAACATATGACTGAAATTGTTCATTGGCTAGCTCCAGAAAAATTGAGATATGAACAAAAACAACCTTATAACTTTAAATGTGAAATTTTCAGGTATAAATTTTTAAAATAATCAATATTTATAATTCAGTAATTTATTGATTAATGATTTTAATGATTTTATGTTTGCTTATATACAGTTTTGGTATGTTACTTTGGGAACTTGCTTTTGAAGTAGTGCCTTATGGAAAATGGGACATGACAAAAGTTAAGAAACATGTATTAGCTGGTGGTAGAGAAAATATACAATTTGGTGATGATGTAGATGATGAAACCAAAAATCTCCAACAAGAATATGCTGAAATAATAAAAGGAGGTGAGATTAATAATTTACATATAAACAAATTTATTTATTTGAAATTAATATTTTTAACTTATTATTATTATTATTATTAATTTGCAAATATTACCAAAACAACAAAAAAAAAAGCATGGAAAGCCGATCCTTTATCAAGATCATTACTTCAGAAAATTTTCTTGGAATTGGATGGTTTACATTCAAAATATCCTCCGCCTGTTGCTGAATCACGTTTAGGCCCATCAAAATCTATTGATTTTGATGGATCTTTAAAAGAAGGCAAGAAACCTGTTTCCATAAGTGAAGAAGATGGCAGTATACAATTAAATAAATTCCCCCAATCGAGTACAACCATGATGCTTGATGATGGTATTAAAGCTCATAAAGCAAAAGATCACAAAACAGCATGGGCATGTTTTCAAAAACATGCTGATTTTAACAATCCAAAAGTTAAATATTGGAAAGGATATTATTTGTGGGAAGGATATTGTGGTCGCAAAGATAAAGTGGCAGCAGCTAAATTGTTTAAAGAAGCAGCTGATGGAGGTGTTCCTGATGCACAATTAAGATATGCATTCTCAATGATTGGAAATAAAGCCAATTTTAACGAAGAAGAATTTATTCGATATCTTAAATTGGCTGCTAACAATGACAATTCTACAGCACAATATAGTTTAGGTGATGTGTATATTAATGGAAAACTTGATATTACAAAAGATGAAGAAGAAGGAATTAAATATTTGAAATTGGCAGCTTTAAATAAACACCCAAAAGCAAATGAATTGTTAAAGCAAATGAAGATTAATATTTATAGTTAAAAAAAAAAGAAACATTTGACAAAAGAAAATCATAACTGTACTTTTATATATTTATAAATGATTATTTATTTATTTTAATTTTTTGTTTATAGATTTTATTATTGTTTGTGGTAGTATTTATTTATTAATTAATTTAAGGAAAAAAAATTAATGTATAAACGCCCAATAAATGGGTTTTTCATTAAATAAAAATAAATTGGAAACATTCTTTATCTAAAAAATCTTTGTACAATTAAAATTAAATAAATAATACACAAATATAATATATATTAAATATTGCAATTTTTTTTTTACATTTTATGTGTAAAGAAGAAAAAATCAACATTTAAAATATAAATACGCCATTCATAATGAAATAATTAAATCAGCATAATAATAATTTTATATTAATATAAAACAAAATTAATTAAAGATATAAATATATAAATATATTGTTCTTGGAAGGATATTATTGCTAACCGTCATTATTATTATTCAAAATGTTTTTAATTCATTTGTTACTAACAACAATTATGACGAATTTTCGATCACACCATCTTCAAATTTAAACTCTTTATTATTTAATATATCAGCATCATTTGGAATGTTCGCTACACTTTTATTTGACTTGTTAAAGTGTTGATCAAACGGGGATATAACAGAGTTGATGGATGATTGCTCTGAATTAATTGTTATATTAATATTATTGTTTTTGTTAGGTGATGATGATGGTGGTGATGGTGATGGTGATGATGACAACGGTAATGATGATGACGATGATGATGATGATAATGATGATGATGATTTTGATAATATATTATTAGGATTAGTAGTAGTAATAGTTGTGTATTGTTGTTTGCTTTTGGCATCTTCCGACCCAAATTCATCATTGCTTTCTTTTCCTTCTGCCCCTATCTTTCCTTCCACCTCCTCTGCCTCCTCTGCCTCTTCCACCACCACTTTAATATTATTGTCAATATTATTACTGTTAACATCAGAGAAAATTTTTTGAGACTGAAGATAATGTGAAGAAATAACGCCTTTAAAGATTCCTTGAGCTTCATCACTATCGCCATCTTCTTCATCAATAGCTTCCTTTTGGGAACTATTCTTGCTACTGTGAGTTTGAAAACCATCATTTGAAAAATCATTTAATATTGATGTAGTTGTACTCGAAATGTCAACAGTATTATTGATAATTGGAACTGGCGGAAGAATGCTAAATATTTCAGAAAACTGATCTGCTGTTTGGTACGTACAAAAAGGATCGGGGCTTTGTGTTGTCATCTAAAAAAATCAAAAAAATAAATAAATAATTAAAATGAAATGGACGAAACAGATTAATTGATTAATTACTAACAGCTTCTAACAAAGGATCTGCTAAACCTTTACTAGATATTCTATCAAAAATATCTACTTCAGCTTTAACAACTGTTGAGACTTTTGAAAGAATATATTTAAGATTATTTTGTTCATTTTCTAATGTTTGTCTGTGATATTCAGCTTTTAATCGGTCTAAATCTTCCACTTGTCTAGTCAAATCTTGTAAAGCCTTTACAATAACATTATTATTATTATTATTATTATTATTATTATTATTATTATTATTATTATGAGTTAAAAGGAATAATTATTAAATTAGATCAAGTCAACATTTTTACAAATAATCTAAATCCATCTTTCCCCGCAAATTATAATCATTAAAATACATACATGGCGAAATTGTGTAAGATCTAATCATCAAATATGATTTTATATTATTATTATTATTAATAAAACACAAAAAAATCATTTAAATCATGATTGTTTTTTTTTTTTTACCTCTTTGACGTTTACGACCAATTCGTAAATTTTCTGCTTCTGTTTCTTTAATTTTTTTACTCATCTCTGCTAATGATTTATCATAATTTTCCTCGCTTGCAAATACAGTTGATTTATGCACATCAAGATTTTCCAATAGTGGGATTTCAAAATTTTTGTAAAGTGCATCGCTCTTTTTTTTTTTTTAAAAAAAATATTAATTTAAACTATTAATTAAAAAAATATAATATTCACTACTAATAATATTTCGTATGTAAACATGTATAATATAAATACCAAAAGTTGTTGATGATTTGATGTAAGGTAATGTAAACCAGCAGCAGCTTGAAAACTAGAACCTAATAATAGTCAATTTAATTAATACATGTATGTGTACATATACACATAAATAAAAATAATCATAATTGATGATAAATTCATGATAAATTAAATTTAATATTAACCACTTTCCAAAGCTCCTTTACAATGAGCAATTCTTTCCAAGGATTGACCAAAATTAGCTGTAGCTTGTGCAAGAGCCATCAATTGATTCCTATATATTTTGGCAGCTGCTAAAAGTTGTTCGTAAGCTTCAATCGAAGAGCGTATATCAGTACGAGTAAGAATGACGCTTGGATTGGAAATTGGTTCGGCTGTTCTAATTGAATGAGTGATAGAACTTGAAGTCCTTGCTGAAAGAGTGGGTGAAGTTGGTGCAGAGTATTTATTACTATACATTATGTGATGAAAACAATTTTTTTGTTTAAATAAAAGTGTGATTTAGGAAATAATTGCTGAAAAAGGAGTGTTTGTTTTTTATAATAAATTAAATTTGGATCAAAAGTTTTTCTAATAAATATTTTAATATTAGTATTAATTAGTTATATTAAATATTAATTAATAATTACGCATTTTCCCTTATTTGTAATAAAACAAGTGATAATTTGATAACTTGTTACATGCCTTCGTGACAACTTCAATCTTGTATTAAAAATGAACTATACAAATTTCAAGATGCTTCTTTCTACACTTTTGCTTGATAATCTTGTCAATCCTAACAATAGTAATGCTCTACCGTTAAAATATTTTAATAAACTTTTAAATGATTTAACAAATTTATTTAATGAATCAGATTATCACGATGTAGAATTAAAGTCAGGACAATGTTAAAAGTTTTTAAAGCTCATCATTCCGATACTCTAAAAGAAAGATCTTTAATCTTTTAAAGATCTGAGGATGACAGGAAACATTTCACCAATGTAAAATTTATTTAAATGAAATTTTAAAAGTTCTTGAAGCATGTGATAAACTAAACATTAATGAAAATAGTTGATGATTTACAAAAATTTTTAATTGATGAAAAAAATGAATGGATTCTACAAAATTTAATTTGCCTTTATATAAAAACATCAATTGTTTCAAGAATATTGTAAAAAGTTGATTTGTGAAAGTCCAGAATCAAATTTAATTTCACAAATGTTGAAAAATCGATGCTTACATTCATATTGGAAAGAGATGATTTAAAATTAGGTGAGGCTGACATTTGGGATTATGTTGTTCAATGGGGAATAGGACAAAATGAAGCATTAGAAAAAGGAATTTCAGAATGGCATAAGGATGATTTCAAAAATACTATTCCATTAATTTATAAATTTTTATGGTAAATCAATCCTTATAAAGGTTTTTGATACAAGAATATTATGTTACATCAAAATTTATAATTCAAAAAGGCCCAAGTATTGGAAGAGGAAAGATATTAAGCCTAAATATGAAATTATTAATTTCTAATTGGAATGATTGGAAAATAAATATTTATAACAAAAATGACTTACAACAATATGGAATTAACTTGATCTTACAAGTAACACAAGATGGGCTTTCTAGACAAATTTTTGAGCAAAAGTGTTATGATATTGAACACACTATAGTAATGATGAAAATTGAAGAAACTGGTGAATTATTGGGTGGTTATAATCCTGTGTGTTGGAATATAAAGGAAAAATCTCAAGATAAATATTATTGGATTGAAACTGATATGCCATGATGGTAGATTTCATGAAAATTCATATATTTCGATCATTTACAACTTATTTAACAGTATTGATGATAAACTTTATTGTTATCATAATTTTGCTAATACTTGTGAGAATAATTTGAATCTTGGAAATAATCACAAGAAAGTTCATTTGTTAGAAGAAGGAATGTGAAGTATATAGGTTAGTAAAGAAAAATTAACAATTTTAAATTATATATAAATTTTTTATTCATCCGTTCATTTTACACACTGTATATAACTTTGTCTTCGTGAACTTCATATTTAAAACAAAAAAAAACCAAGCCTCGCGTACTAAGTAAAAACCCAATTCGTCTATATACACATTTCAGATTCGGATAGTAGATAATCAATTAGAGTTCGTCAGCCTTTTAAAAATCCACGCGATAACTAATATTATGCAAAGTAAAAGTTATTCCTCATGACAAAATTGGCTTGTTGGACTCGGATAATAATAATTATTGCTCGAACACGATGCTTTTTTGTTGTTTTACGCTTTTTTTTTATGCCTCATAAACTCCACAAAGAAAAAAGGCATAACATCCATGTCAAGTAGAATCGTCTGTTCGTTTTTTTAAATTCCGATAGTAGAAAAATAATCGGTTTTAATTTGCAATGATTGGTATTTTGGAAAGTTGAGATTTTAAACCATTTTTGTCTTTTTTTTACAAATAGAAGAGATTATGAATTTTTCTCGTTAAAAACATACTTGTGAAAATTAAATAATCAAACAAAGCAATTTAGCAATCAATATAAGATTATTTTTAGGCGTAGAATAAAGTTTTATCTAACTCTTTCCAATAGGACATCTTTCATTCGCATTTATGTTATTGTTTTCGTTTGTCAACTGAAACACAAGATTTGTAAGTGGAGCTTTATAATTGCATCAATTTATTGTCTTCCTAAAAAGTATAGATGGTACTCTTTTAAATAAGCAGAAATGACATTTTGTTGTTTGTAAATAATAATAAAAGACGCCGCACGATGATGATTATTTCTAAATTTGGTCAACCAATGATATTTAGTTAGCAATGGACATTATAAATGGATGAAATATTTTATTTTCCAATAAATATTACACATCGTCGTCGTTTTATATCCATGCATTACAATAGTTGTCATATTTTAGAATATTCCACACAGCCAAAAATCGCTTACTTTAGGAACGATTATTTTGTTCAAAATGTCAGAGCTGAGCGAAGCGAATATTTAATCGGGAATCATATTTTGTTTTAGCTATACATTACATAGTATTCAGTGGTATTTTCAAATTATTAAAATGACCAAATTTTTGTGGGCTTATCTCGAGGGCCTTTATCTTTGATTGCCAATCGTTCATGGTGGACGAAGCAAATATTCAATCGGGAATCGTAGTTCGCTTAGCAGGACCCCGAAATATATATGTAGAGGTAAGACGACTTTGGAATTTTTTACTAATAGCTCTACGCAAAAGTTTTTTGTAAGATCGTTACAGAAAGTTAGTATATTACATTAGATAATTGTAAAGAAATGTTGGCAGCAATTTAGATATAGTCCAACAGACAATTAATGTAGCTAGTGAAGCTATTAAACCATTTGTTCCGCTGATAGGCCTTGTGACTGATTTGGCAGGGCAGATTATTGAAGTATATGAAAATGCTCAATATAATAAAAAAAGTTGTGCAGCATTGATTCAACGAGTGCAATCAGCCGAAGTTGCAGTTAAAGTATTGGATAGACGCAAACAAGAAAATCAGGAAAATTTTCATCAACAAACTTATTATATAAACTTTGAAAGATTTATCACTATTTTAGGAGACATTGAAGCTTTTATGACAGATTTCACACGTTTATCACAATACAAAAAATTTATTTCTAATAATGTTATTAAAGAAAGATTTATTGGATTGATTAATGATTTTGATAGAGTAGTTCATGATTTAGGATTTACAATGATCATTGCAAGTGATGAAGATAGGAAAAAAGAGATTGAAGTTTTAAATAATGATATTGCTGAAATGTCAAAGGTATGAGAGATTTGGTATTATTATTGATATTATTCATTATCAATTAAAAATATATATGTTTATAATTTACATATTCCTCTTTTTTCAATAATAATAGTTCTTGCAAACAATTGAAGCTGGTGTTACAACAATCGATAAAAAAATCAGTCACGTGTTAGAACATGTATTAATATTACAAGATAAAAAAAAAGATAAAGATTTTTCACCTCCAATTAAAAAAATACCACCCAATGAAATAAAAATCGAAAGTTCTACTCACGATAAAAAATTACTTAAAGCAAGATATTTAGGATGTAATGTTGCATGTGATACCATTATCTTACCTGATGATGACAAACCTGGTTCACACAGGATTAATGCTCAATTAGCCATTTTAAGAAATTTAGCAAGTTGTGAATTTATTATAAATTTTCATGGACTAACTAAGATTAATGGAATTGATCGTATGGTGGTTGGATGGGCTGAGTTTAGTAATTTGAAAGAATTTTATGAAAAAAATCACATTAAGTGGCCTTTAAAAATTAGAATTGCCACAAATATTTGTCGTGGAATTATATTCTTAAATGGTTGTGATATATTTCATCATGATATTAGATGTGAAAATATTTTGGCAAGTTTTTAATTATCAGATATTAGATATTTGTTGCCTTTACACTAAATAACTATCTTTTTTTATAGATTACAGAAAATTATGAACCAAAAATTACAAATTTCAGTTATAGTAGGGATCTTAAAGACAATACAATTAAAATTGAAAACCAGAAAAAAATTATTCGTTGGTTAGCTCCTGAAAAAATGCAACCATCTAAATATGCACCATATACTATTCAATGTGAAATATTTAGGTATATTTTATTGACATTGATCTCGAATATTGATATTACTGTTGAATATGATATTGATAATTAAATAAAAAGTAAAATTATCATTTTAGCTTTGGGATGCTTTTATGGGAATTGGCATTTCAACAATTACCTTACAAAAATATGGAATTTTCACAGATACAAAGTCATGTTTTAAGTGGTAAAAGAGAACATTTAGATTTTACACTTGATTTGCCAGAAAAAGAATTTGGAAAAATTGTTAATTCTGGTAAAATGATTTTATTTTAATAAATAAATACATCACATGTTAAATTTTTTTTTTAAATTAATATTTTGTATTTTCTTAAATTTTTTAGCTTGGCAGCATGATCCAACTTTGAGGCCAGAATTAAATTATTTATTTAATGATTTAGAAAAAATTTGTACAAAATTTGCTAATGTTTCAGGAATATCATCATCTATGGTTCTTGCCAAAAACATTAATGTCCTTAATAACAATAAGTATAATAGTAATGATAATGGTATCTCAACTTCTGTGATAACAACAAACACTGCTACCGCATCAGTAGCCCTTAATGGTTTTGCTACAACAAGCACGCCAAGTAATTGCATTAATAATAATAATAATTATGATGATAATCATGGTAAAGATTTTAATAATCACAACAATAACAGTCATAATAATAACAACAGTAATGATTATAATGATGATTACAATAATAATAATGCTTGTAATACCCATAATGATGAATCTGAAAGAAAAGGATTCTACACTATAGATTCAGATAATATTAGCCCTATATTAAGATTGGAAGATGGTCTTGCGTTAGATAAACAGGGTCAAAAAGAAAAGGCGTATGAATGTTTCAAAGCTCATGCAGATATAGGCAATAAAATGGCAAAATTTTGGTTAGGGAATTATTATTGGCGTGGTATTGTTGTAAAAAAAGATTTAGATAAAGCTGCTGAATTATTTAAAGAGGCCGCTGATAAAGGTGTAGCAAGAGCACAATTATGTTATACTAAAATTTTATGTGATGAAGATGGGCCATCATTTGATCTAGAAGAATTCATGAAATATTTAAGAATGGCGGCCGATAATGGTAACGAAGTTGCACAATTCAATCTGGGCGATTTGTATTATAATGGTAAATTAGGTGTGAAAATTGATGAAAAACGCGGTTTAGAATATTTAAAGCTGGCTGCTTTAAAAGATCAACCTAAAGCTATCGAGTTATTGGAAAAATTAAATATCAGCAATATTTATCAATTAGAAGATTAATTTAATTCATATCTTATTTATTATATTCTGTGTGTGTGTGTATATATATATTTACATAATTGTAATTTTATTACTAATACAGTCATGGTCAACGTGATAAGTATTTCTGACAAACCATTAAACGATTAATTTTTATATGCCGCAATTAATCGAGCAGCCATCTTTACAAACGATTGGATTGTTTAACATTTTGATATAATAAATTATTTATTTTGTTGTAGTTAATGGTGTTGGAGTTGCTAACATCCACCGGTAGAAAATGGATATTTCTATGTTTAAATTATATGCTTATGTATCTAATTCTATTGGTTTAAAATTACGGTGAATCTCGAATATTTCTTAATATTGTAAAATTTTAGGGTAATAGTAACATATCTATTACTATGACGAGATCGCCCCGCGGCTCATAATAATAATGGAAGTGCTGCGTATCCAGGAACCAGAAACAAAGCACTAGTATCACGTCTACTATGGTACCCACGCCAGGAAAAGTACTTGTCGCAGGTGGATATTTGATTCTAGATAGAAACTATGATGGTCTAGTTGTTGCGGTTGATTCAAGATTTTATACAGTGATTAAAAAAATTGAAGCAGAAAATACTTTTTGCAATAGTAATAATGACAATAGTTGGAAAATTAATGTCATTTCACCTCAATTCAATAATACCAAGTGGGAATATAAAGTAATAATTAATGATTATAACAATAAAGAAGATATCAGACAATGTGAATTGATGACATTGAACTCAAAGTATGCAAATAAATAAATTATCATAGCAAATTATTTAAATGAATTATATAGTAAATTTTAAATTTAAATAAATTTATTTTTAGTGAGAGCGGAAATAACACATTTATTGATGTGACACTCAAATTTGCTTTGTCAATTATTATTCAGAGAATTGATTATTCATCATTCTCAAAGATATTAGAAAAAGGATTAAATATATTTATAGTTGGAAGCAATGATTTCTATTCACAACGAGAACAAGTAGGTAATTTTTTATCTTTAATTATTAATGATATCAATGATTATGAATTAATAGTTGATCCTCTTTTTATGGATACGTACGTGTACAAGTTGAAAAATCAAGGACTTGAAATTAGTTTGGCATCATTACGATCACTCAAACCATTTTGTAAATTAAACAAAACCTTGAAAAATGTTCATAAAACAGGTTTAGGATCTTCGGCAGCATTGATAACATCATTTGTTACAGCTTTATTCGTTCATTTTAATTTAATCAATAACAAAGAAGACGTAGATGATAATTATTCCAGAACATTAATTCATAACGTTGCACAGTTTTGTCATTGTTTTGCTCAAGGTAAAATAGGATCAGGATTTGATGTATCAGCTGGTGTATGGGGAAGTCATACTTACAAGAGATTTTCTACTAGTATACTAGAAAATGTTTTAAATGTGGTATAAACATTTCTAATATATATATATATATATAATATAAAAGGAGAAAAAAAATTTTTTTTGTTAAAATATATTCTGATAATTTTTATTATTATTCAGCCAAATATTACAGAGATTAACACAATTATCGATCCTATGTTAAATAAGTGAGTGAATCTGGTAAATTTATTATTATAATTGTTATTGTTATCATTATATTAATGTTAAAGTTATATTTAGATGGGATAATCAAGTTTCGCCATTTTCTTTACCACCAGGATTTAATTTAATTCTTGCAGACATTGATACAGGATCGAATACTCCCAGTATGGTTTCAAAAGTATTACAATGGCGTAAAAATGATCCTGAGCAAGGTTTTTTTTAGGATTTTTTGATTTTTTTTCTCAAATGAGCAGACAAATAAAAAAATTTTTTAATTTTTTTTTTTAGCAAATAAATTATGGGAAGAATTGAATAAATACAACAAATTTCTTGCCGATAATTTAACAAAATTGACAAAAGAATATGATAATGATCAAAAATTATATTGTAATACTATTGAAATCTGTTCTAATTCTAAGGCATCTGAGGTTTGTAATAATAATAATAACTCTTGGAGAGAAAAGAAGAAAGTATTTAAAGAAGAGAATATCAATTAACATGACTTTTTTAATAATTCTAGTGGTTATCAATATCAGAAAAAAATCCAAATGAATCTTACATTATAAGATTATTATCATTGATATATACAACATTCCAAGTAATTTATAAAAATACATATTATTATTGTTTTTTTTTCTAGGATTATGAATCTAATCATATTATTATTTCATTTTAAAGAATATACGAAAATTATTACGAGAAATGTCAAAACTGTCAAAAGTACCAATTGAACCACCTGAACAAACTAAATTATTAGATTTATGTAATGAAATACCTGGTGTGGTATTAAGTGGTGTTCCTGGTGGTAAGTTACAAATTTAATAATAATAGTTAATTAATCGAAAATAAATAAATTAATTAATTAATGATTTTTTATATTGTCATTGTCATTATTAGCGGGAGGATATGATGCAATATTTTGTATTTATATTACCCCAATTTCTTCTTCTACTACGACTGCGTTTCATTCAATTAAAGGAGATGGCTGCCTAAATAAATTAGAGCAACTATTTTATAATTATAAAGGCTTGGATGTATTACCACTTTTATCTAAAGAATCATCAAAGGGTTTTTTAATTCATAAAAATATTGATGATGTTTATGGTTTAAATGAATGTATTAATTAATTAATAAACAGTTTGATATTTATCAATTACTTTAATTTTGAGCACAAGTTTTCCCCCAAAGTTTAGTTCATGTAATTATTAAACCAATATGGCCCCAAAAATCCATCACATGTTTTTTACTGATGGAACAATCAAGATCATCATCACTTACTGGGGTGAACAAAACGATCTTACGCAGCCATCATCTATCTTTCCTACTAATCGCCTTGGAATCTTTGTAATGCTCTTTCCTCTATATTGTCATTAAACATTAAGCATTAAGTGGGAAGCAATTATAAATTGTTTAACTTTTACTTACCCAACGAAAAAAAATGATAAGGAACATACACGATATCGATAGTATGCCATATATTGATTCTATACCAACTCTCTACCATGATTTGGAACAGAAGATTTGTGTTATATTTGAAATGAAGTTCCGGATCATAATCTTTACCTAATATAGGGTCTGATGTGCAATGACCCGTATATTTCTTTCGAAATAAAAATGCCTCTTCTTTTTTAAAATTAAAACTATCCTTGTATTGTTGTATTTTATATAATCAAATTGTCTTTAATACATATGGATTGTGTTAAATTGATGCATTTTTGACTTTTGAAGTTAGTCAACTACGTGTAATAGTAATAATAATATGCTTGAGCTGTCTTTAGTGTCTGAATTTGAAGCAACATAGGTTGATCAATATTGGTACTTAGAACGAGCTTTACATACCACACATATGACAGGTTTTGGTACATGTTCTTGCCACTTTTAAATCTTCAAAGAATGCTGAAATTCTTTTATTGTTGAATCACGATAATTCGATCACTGGAGTTGGTGATGATGAAGTTGTTCTTTCGCTTTTCAATTAATCTTGTTAGAGAAAAACTTAAAGTAAAAATGTTGTACGAAAAAATTGTCATTCAGTTCTCCGCAAAGAAAAACAAGTTTTTAAACGAAAACGTAACAGCGAGTTTCGTGAAATACAGATAGTATTATATAATTTTTTTGGTGTCATATATTATAAAATCACATGGCTCAATCGCTTGCGTATATATTTGTTCGGAGCATCAAAATTAACACTATCTTAGCATCCCACCATGTATTCATGATCAATGATACAATCTTCAATAAAAATAGACTATTCCATGGCATTGATTGAGGAGGCTAATGAATCACAACCAAAAACATACAAATATACCGCTACATCCACTCGTGAACCAAAAAAACGGTGCATTGGTTTTGCTTTTCATGGTATTCGAATTCGAGGGTCTTTAAAAGAAGGCAAGAAACCTGTTTCCATAAGTGAAGAAGATGGCAGTATACAATTAAATAAATTCCCCCAATCGAGTACAACCATGATGCTTGATGATGGTATTAAAGCTCATAAAGCAAAAGATCACAAAACAGCATGGGCATGTTTTCAAAAACATGCTGATTTTAACAATCCAAAAGTTAAATATTGGAAAGGATATTATTTGTGGGAAGGATATTGTGGTCGCAAAGATAAAGTGGCAGCAGCTAAATTGTTTAAAGAAGCATCTTGAAATTTGTATAGTTCATTTTTAATACAAGATTGAAGTTGTCACGAAGGCATGTAACAAGTTATCAAATTATCACTTGTTTTATTACAAATAAGGGAAAATGCGTAATTATTAATTAATATTTAATATAACTAATTAATACTAATATTAAAATATTTATTAGAAAAACTTTTGATCCAAATTTAATTTATTATAAAAAACAAACACTCCTTTTTCAGCAATTATTTCCTAAATCACACTTTTATTTAAACAAAAAAATTGTTTTCATCACATAATGTATAGTAATAAATACTCTGCACCAACTTCACCCACTCTTTCAGCAAGGACTTCAAGTTCTATCACTCATTCAATTAGAACAGCCGAACCAATTTCCAATCCAAGCGTCATTCTTACTCGTACTGATATACGCTCTTCGATTGAAGCTTACGAACAACTTTTAGCAGCTGCCAAAATATATAGGAATCAATTGATGGCTCTTGCACAAGCTACAGCTAATTTTGGTCAATCCTTGGAAAGAATTGCTCATTGTAAAGGAGCTTTGGAAAGTGGTTAATATTAAATTTAATTTATCATGAATTTATCATCAATTATGATTATTTTTATTTATGTGTATATGTACACATACATGTATTAATTAAATTGACTATTATTAGGTTCTAGTTTTCAAGCTGCTGCTGGTTTACATTACCTTACATCAAATCATCAACAACTTTTGGTATTTATATTATACATGTTTACATACGAAATATTATTAGTAGTGAATATTATATTTTTTTAATTAATAGTTTAAATTAATATTTTTTTTTCTATAAATACACTTTATATATTTTAAAAAACATAATTAAAAAATACAATCCTTAAAATAAAATTTAAAAAAAATTTTTTTTTTTTTATAGAAT